ATTGATGGCCATCATTGACTGTTCGGTCTTTCAAGACCTACTGTTTACTGTACTGTTATGCTAATGGATGTACCACATATGACTGTACTGACTGAATAACTAAAATACTGACTTAATGAACTGTTTTCATTATTGTAAGGACATTCATTCTAAACCTCTTTACGCATTGCGTTATTCACTGGGCTTTAGCTCACTGCTCATATATATATGTAGGTGTACAGGCATCAGACTACGGTTAGTAGCATCGGGGTAAGCTCCAGTTTTGTCAAGCCAACCACTGTGCCTCACTGCGAGGTTCCGAGCCTGTCAAGCTATGGCTTAGGGGTGCTTTAATTTCCCTCGTCTGTCTCTATAACTGTTTTGTTAACTGTATAGACTGTTACTGTACTGTTTAATAGGGATTAGATCCCTGATCTGAATGATTATAAATGTTGTACATACTGTTCTGCACTGTGTGTATATATATATATATATATATGTATGCATGAAAAGTCTTTTTGGCATACAGACTGTCACAGCTCATTGGACATTATTTATTTACTGTATTGGCTTCCGCCAGACCCTTGTACTCTGTTCTACTGTATTACTGTTAAGCAGGCCTTCGGTAATCTCGGATTACTGGCCGGTTACGGTGCTAAACCCATAGGGGCGGGTTTGGGTCATGACAGAAACTGTCCTCGAGACAAGCCTTATTTAGGCTAGTGAAGTCCACGCAGACCCTCTACTTCCCGTTCTTCTTCTTCACAACAACTGTGTTTGACAACTAAGTTGGATAGTTTACTTCTCAAATGGCTCTGGCCACCAGTAGTTTTCCCACTTCCTCTTCTACTGCCTTAACATGCATCAACGTTGGCCTCCTTGCTCGTTGGATATCAGGTTTAGCTGACCTATCCACATTCAGTCTATGGCAAGTGACCTCAGGTTAATGCTAGGCATCTCGTATGGCGTCTAGGCAAACACCTCAATGTTTGCTCGTAAGAAGGATTCTAACTCCCTGTCCTCCTCCTTGGCCAATCCTGAACCGAGAAGAAAGAAACACTCTTTATCCCCTCGTCGGACTAGAATCTTCTTCAAGGCTTCCTCACTCTTCTCGGCTGGTTCTTTGCTGGTGTCATCCAGGACCTCTATGTCCTCATCCTCAATCTTTACTGCGTCTGTTTCTCATACATTGTAGGTGGATTTTATTGCTGCCATAGAGCAATTATTTGCCTGCACTTTATCTCCTCTGATCTCCTCAATTCCATGCTCGGTTGGGAACCGCAATAGCTGGTGCAATGTTGAGGGAACAACCTTCATTGTGTATAACCACGACCTTCCCAAGATAACGTTGTAAGGTGAGGAATGATTGTAAACTTTGTGCTCACCTTCCTGGTGCTTGCCTGCACCTCTAAATTTATTGCCCTCAAAGGCCATGTTGGCATTCCATTGAACCCGACCATTGGACTGTTGAACTGTTCCAGATCATCGGCGAGCTCCTTGTAACATCTGACATACATGATGTCACAAGAGCTGCCTTGGTCAATTAGAATGTGCTTTACTTGGCACTCTTCAACCTTCAGGGATATCATTAGAGCATCATTGTGTGGATGCTACACCATGTCTAGGTCAGCTTCAGTAAAGGACACCATTGGTCCCCGGTATTCGTCTGCCCTAGGCTTATTTTGTTGGACCTGATACACATGCTGTAAGTGTTTCACCCTCTGAGTCTCCCTACACATCTCATTCTAATTGACCTTCGAGTGAATCACATTGATCACTCGAGGTCCGTTTGCTTGCGGTTGTGGTGCTGGTGGAGGTAGTGCTGCTGGTGCCTGGAGTAGCCTTGCTTGCTCTTTCCTTGTCCTGGCCTTATCTACTAGGTCCCTTAAGTGACCTTATCTTACCAGATTTTCCAGATGTGTCTTTAGGGCTCTGCATCCCTAAATCAGATGCTCATTCTCATTGTGGTAAACATAGTGCTTCTCAAGGCTTCTTCCCATAAATTCGCTAAGAATCTTCTCTGGTGCTCTATAGTAAGGTTGGTACCTGATTCTTTCCAAGACTTTATAAACCGAGATCCGAAACACTATGGTCACTGCCTGTGCAGCCCTTAGTCCTGTTTCTTGTCTATTAAAATTTGTATTACCTCGGCCTTGCTTCGGCGAGCCGTTCCTCTTCTATTGCTTTGACGCATTTGTCCCTGGCGTGTCTTCCTCTACTCTCACATATTTCTTGATCCTGGCCATAAGTTCCTCCATACTTTTTGGCAGTGTCTTTGCCAATGATTTTCAGAGCAAATAGTCATCGTTCAGGCCGTTCTTAAAAGAAATGACCGCCACCTCTTGGTTGCACCTTGGTATTCGGTTAAACACCTCATAGTACCTTTTGGCATAAGCCCTAAGGCTTTCATCCTCGCCAATTCTCAAATCCATCAGAGAGTCCACCCTCAACAGTTGCAGTTTGTTTGTAACAAACCTGGCCACAAACATCTCGGCTAGGCCTTCCTAACTTTTCATAGTTCTTTTCGGCAACTTGTAAAACTAGTCTGATGTGATTTCCCCAAAGGATGAGGGGAACACCTTGTAGAGCAACGGTTCATTCCCTGTATATAGTGCCATTGAGTTCAAATATAAGTTGACGTGAAAATTAAGATCAGACTGACTGTCGTATATCTGGAATCTCGGCATGTGGAACCTTTTCGGGGCCTCAAATTTGTCCAATTCTGCCGAGAAGGTTCTCGGCTTGACCGGGGACGTGACCTCGGCATCTTGTCACTTCCTCTGGAGGTAATCCCTCAAATCCTTTGTAGTCAGCCCAGGAGCTCGGCTATCAACGAATTTTATCCTTTTTGGTGCGCTGCTTCCGATGTCGTTATGAGTCTTCTTGGACCTCCCTTTATTCATCGTATCAAAATAAAGCTCCTTTCCTAGAACATGTCGATGTTCTTTGTGTAGGCTTCTTTAGCATGATGTGTCTTTTGAGACTCTTTTCTCATCGATTCTCCTCACCCGACCTCCCGTGAAGGCCGATGCGAATGCTCCCTTGTCCTGTCATGCTGAGGGACAATGGGGATTGCTTTCTGTCCCCCTCCCTGGGCATCGTTTTTGGCCGTTGGAATCGGCGTGTCCTCTAATGGGAATAGTGGCTGCATGACGTTGTTCTGCATCATGAAATTGATGACTGATTGTAGGTCTGCCAATTTGTTTGTCATCCCCTTCATCTCGCCGTCTCTCCTCAGGCATTTATCTTTCCATACCTGGAGGTCGCTTTCGTTGTTATACCCGCCCTGACATGCTCTCTTCGGTACGTCTCCCTCTTGGCCAACGTATTTTTCTCCGAGATTCTTCTCTCGGGGTTCTTCATTACAGTTATCCTCTCCTACGTTAGGTTCGGTCTGTTTACCACTCTCACTTGGGACGTCATCTCCGATCTTCTCTTTCTACCCGTTGTTGGCCATTTATTCTCCTTCCGATTCCCACAGACAGTGCCAAATTATGAGTGCTGATTTCTGACCACACTGCCAAACAAGTACTCAGCAGGAGAGCATAGACAGAATAGATTAAGCCCAAACAACCTGTTATAGAAAGATAAGAATTCGGCGGTGGTTCGTCCACCCGGGGCACTCCGACGATCAAGTCAATACTCAGTTATCTCTCAAAGATAGTAAACAGTGCTTAACTCACTTAGTCAGAATACAAAAAGCGTACCTTAGACTCACGAGGGTGCCTTACTTTTATAGCCAGCACTAACCTAATCCCTACAGAAGCCTAGCTTCAATGGACTCTGGCTCAATGTTTATCTAGGACTCCCAGCCAGATAGAGATAAACTCCCTAAGAGCTTTATCTTTATCCAGACTGAGGTCCTTCCCCATTTTAGGACTCTTGTCTCTTATCCGCTCATCTCGGATTCTGATATTTTCACAGATAACCTCGGCTTAGCTGAGGTCACCTTGGCGTCATGACCAGGACATGTGACACTTTGGCTAACATGTTGGCATCATTTTGGGCACGTGCTGTCATTCACAAAATATGCCCCCCACAGTTACATCTCTAATTTATCATCCCTAAATGACCCTCTAATAATGTGATATTGAAATTAGATCTCAGATAATGAAATATGTTTGACAAATCAAAATTTTACATTTATTAGATACATCATTAGAGTGATTTTGAAGAGAAAAGCATTTTTACGTGTTGGTCTTAATAGGTGAACTTATTGTTCAATAGGTTCTATAAGAATTAATGATATATTTTTTTTTATCAAATACTATTAAAAAAAAGTCACTAATTATTAATTTTCAGCGACAGTTTAAAAATTTTGATACAAAAAATATCACTAATTATAAGTTTTAACGACAGTTTAAAAAAATCATCACTAATTTTGAACTTTCAAGAATAGTTTAAAAAATTCATTACAGAAAAACGTTATTAATTGTAAGTTTTAGAGACAATTTATAAAAATTATAAACAAAAAAAATTACTAATTATCAATTTTTAGAGACATGTATAAAAAATTATTATAAAATTATTTTTAACGACAATTTTATTAAAAATTATTTTTAATAAGACTTATTAAAAATTAAGTCAAATAATTAAGACTTATAATAATTTATTCCGGTGGTGTTTGGGAACTTGGTTCCCAAATTTTTTTCTCATTTTTTTCACTAAAAGACAAAAGTTTTGCAAAACAAAAAAAAAACAAATACAAACAAAATATCACATCCAATCTCATAATCATTTCATTTTTTCTCTCACAAACATCACATCCAACTACAAAAAAACCCAACTATCTTCTCAAACACTAAAATTTTTTTATCCAATAATATCTTACAACTAAAATAATCTACATAAAAACTCACTTCCCAAACACCTTCTCTATTTTTTTTTAATTATAAATTAATAAGCAAGATTATAAATTGTACCAAACAGCGGCTTGTACAAGCCAAGTACAACTCAAACAGAGCCTGGTACGGCTAGCATCTCTGTCTCCCTCTGTCTCTCTTTTTTTATATAGTTGGTGCTATGGGTTCAAGCATTTAAAAATATTACGCAGATCTCTCTCTCTCTCTCTCTCTCTCTCTCAATCGTCAACGCTTTTTATGAAAATTATACAAAAAAATCCATTATTGTAGATACAACTAGGATTAGGTAATAATAGGTATGAAATTTCAATTCTCTAACTAATCTTTTCAATTTTTTAAGCAGATTCGTAGATATTACTGAGCCAAACCAGGTACTGGGTCTGATTTCATTTCCCACTTGATCTTATCATTTGACTCTTATCAGGTATCTCTCTCTCTGTCTCTCAGTATGTATATATGTGTGTATTGATTCCTTTGGACTTTTCTGTACTGACAAAAAAATATGTCAAAGTAAGCAAATAATATTTATAACACTTCTCACAGGCATTTTTGTACATTTTGTACTTGGAAGTGTTTTTCAGAAAATTTTCTGTGAATCAATACTTTTGTAGTAGACATGTGGAAAATAGTTTCGGGGATTGTTTTGTTCCTCTTTTCTTTGTTGGGTTTGTTGTCACATTTCAAAACCAACAATTTTTCTGGGTTTGGAACTAGTTTGAGCTCTACTACTCCTAATTTGCTCTATTCCAATTTCCTATCGCATACCCATCACTCGCCTCGTCGGCTTCGTTCGCTTCTTGACAGGTTTTTTTTGTGTCTTTGCTTTGATTGTTTTTGTCAAATTCAACTTTGCTAATTTACAAGATGAACAAAACCCATAAACCACAGTCTTGATAACATTAAGGCTGTGTTTGGTTGGGGATTTTGTAAGGGATTTGGAAAGGGAAAGGACAAATGTGGGTGAAATTAGTTGAAATAAAAGTATGTTTTATTCACATTTTATCTATATTTTTTTTTATTTTTTTTCAAATCTCTTCCCAAATCTCTCAAATGTAAGTGTTCGTTTGAGATTTGACTTTTTAGTAGTTTTGGTTTTGTTTTTGTTTTTTGTTTTTTGTTTTTTTTTTTTTAAACTTTTGATGAAAAGATGTAAAATAAAATAAAAAATAGAGAAAATGGTTTAACTTTTCAAAACCCCCTAACAATTGTGCAATGACTAGCCCTTGTTTGCAAAAACATCATAATATGCTTTTCATCTTCTGAACAATAAATACCTAAAGATGTTCTGAAAACTCTGTGCAGAGCAGTAGGTGGAGTTTGTGCAAGCACTACTACTGGGATGGGTCAAGTTTCGAATGATTGCATTCTGGTGATATTATTAGAGCAATTCACATTTCCGGCAAATTCAGCTCCTTTCAATAGCTGTCATGCTTCTACAATTGTCGAGGTAATTGCAATGGAAACATCATTTTAGTTCACACTTCAATCATTAGCAGAAATAAGTTAGAAGTGTTACTGATTTTGTGGTGCCTGAAGGTTGAAAAAGATCATTTCTTGGCGGCTTATTTAAAAAGTTCAGCAGAGGGAGCTCCTGACGTGAAAATTTGGTTACAGTCGTATAAGGTAATTAAATATTTAACATTCAGGTTGTTACACGGTCTTGGGTAGAACTCGAACTCACCCTAAAAGTTAGCTATTAAGTTGAGGGTGCCCTCGCGCTTATATGCTTAATATTACTTTAATACTTAGGCGATGTGGAACTTCGTTTCACACCCTCTTTCATGCCCAGTGTGCTCACTCGGCAGCACCTACGGCGTGTAGGCTAGGGACACACACCCTACCCATCCTTGAGTACTCTGGCTCTGGCTCTGATACCATGTTACACGGTCTTGGGTAGAACTCACCCTAAAAGCTAGCTATTAAGGTGAGGGTGTCCTCACGCTTATATGCCTAATATTACTTTAATACTTAGGCGATGTGGGACTTCGCTTCACACAGGCAAGTGATACTATGTAGATATTTAGCAAGTGATACTATGTAGATATTTAAGAGGATGATCACACCATGTTAGTTGCAAAAAAACAGTAACACCTAATTTGAAAATTTAGTCAAGTATATACTAGGTAAAATTTAATGTATGAGGCGACTTTGTTGGACTATGGTTACTTATCCATGTTGGTGCATTGCTAGATAATTAAGACGGTAGTCAAACCGTGCTAAAAAATGAAGGTAGCCAAACTATATTTGTTACAAGAGCAATTATAGTCATTTGCAGTTGACTCATTTCTGTTTCAGTTTGTAACAGCAGATTTTGAATTTGCATAGCAGTAAATCTACTTGCACTTGTAGCATTTGGTTTTGGTAAACCACATTATCTAGTTTGTTAGGACACAAGCTTCTGTTATATTTCTTTCAAACTGGTGCACAGTCATGAGTTTCCTTTCTAGTTGAGCTAAATTCCAAGTCTCGAAACATTTTGACAGTTAATTGGACCTATTCCCTATTTCTTGTATTATTGGAAGGTAATACCTAGATTATTAACTCATATAATTGGAATGATTTGGGCAGGATGGTTATTGGAGCCCTCCCATCATTGCTGATGAACAAACCAATGTTTCGATGTGGAACCCAGTTCTATTTAAGCTTCCATCCAATGAGTTGCTTTTGTTCTATAAAATTGGCCAGGAGGTCCAAAAGTAAGCTTTATACTTTCAAAAGCTCACTGAAATCTTACAATCTATATTTCCTGCTTAGTTGGGAGTATAATTCCCATGTTTTTCTTAGGCATAAAAAGTTATCTCATCCTCTGGAAAATATTTAATTTTTTGATGCACTATAATGGATATAAATTTTCTAGTATGCTAAAATGGATTTTAACATATTGCATATAACACAAATTGTTTCACTAGATGAAACCCCGTTTCATGGCAATATAAAATATCATACAATATATTCTTTGTGCTCTTCAATATATTAGCAAAAGCTACATGGCATGGATGGACTTGGGTATGAGCATCAGTTGCGGGTATGTGGCCAGGTGTTGGACCTCCCTAAACCCATGGTTTGGGGTTTGCTTATTTAGTGTCTTTTTAGCTTTTTACGAAAAGATATGCAGAAAAATAGAGAAGTGATATGGCAACTTGTAGCAAATAAGCAAATAAGCGGCTTATTTACTATGTTGGGATATATATATCCATAAGCTGGGTACGAGTACATGAACACGCCCCAAATATTAAATCCATATATTTTATGGGCTTCTTTTTCTTCAAACATTATTAAAAAAATCAGAGAATCCAAGTGCCCAAGTTGGGTATGGCATCGGACACATATCCCATAGATCCATGTAACATTGGGGATAAATATTGCTTGGGATATTGTATTAGTATGATGCTCATATGACTCTATTGTTGCTTTATTTGTTGGAAGAGTAAAGGCATAGTTTGAAAAGTCCAGTTGTAGAAGCTAAGTTTTTATTCTTGTGAAGTAATGGATGTCTGCTTAGGCCTAAGTTACTAAAATGCATAGTTGGAGTGAGGGATATTAGATGACAGTGCAAGAGCATTGATCTCCAAAATCCTTGTGGTTTGGAAGCCTGTGTGATGTCTACGTTTGGTGACACTTACGTTTTCAGTTTTTTGTTTATATTTACAAAAATTTTAAAAACTCAAATAAAAACTTGTTTGGTAAAATTTTTGATTTATAAATCAGTGGTCTCAGTTTATAAATTTGGCCAAAAAATGAAAACACAAAAAATGTGTTTCCATTTTGGGTTTTCAGTTTTTTTTTTTTTTTTTTTCCACCCAACACTAGCCACCACCCGTCACCATTTTCCACCACCGTCTTCCGCCAACCACCCCCCACCACCACCTGCCACCACCACCCCAACACGTACCTGCTACCACCACCACCCACTCGCTACCACCACCACCACCTTACATTACTGCCACTACCACCATCACTACCACCACCACCATTACCATCACCATCACCATCACCACCACCATCCCAATGTAAAAATTAAAATATACAATTTGAAAATAATAAATTTTAAATTCGATCTTATACATATCAAATAACTTATTTTTAGTTCAGTATTTAAATTTTTATCAAATATCTTTTCAACTTAAAAAATTCAACATTCAATTTTTAATACTTCAATTTTATCAAACAACACCTACATATATATTATAAGATTATTGGGTTAGAGTAAAATAAATAATGTCATAAGATTTAAAAGGTTATTTTTTTTACAATTAAATGGTGGAGGTAAGACCATCTCCAACCTTAATATCAGATTTGTCATCAAATTTAAATTTGATAAAAACATGTTATTTTTTAGGCTCCAACCATGGCATCAAACCTGTATCAAATGAGAAAAAAAAATTTAAAAAAATATTATCAAATTAAGAGAGCGTTTAACCTTTTATCCAATCTCATAGGTGACCGTTGATGGATAACCTAGTGGGTGACTGGCCGGTCAACCGGGTGAACAAACGGATTGGGAAAGATTTGATGAAAATTTACTCTAGGCCATATGACCAGCCGAATGACTAGCTAGATTTGATGAAATAGTTGAAACTTGCCATTTCTCACTCTTTTTTATATATTTAATTTTTTTTAAACATTTTGTCAATTACCAAACGCGTTTGTAGTTTATGTTTTTCTAAAAATAAACAAAAAATAAACAAAAACCAGTTTATAAAATTTTTGTAAATATAAACTGAAAACGTAAACGTTACCAAACACAAATGTTAGAGTGGTTTAGAAAAGAATAGGTATATATTTATATGTAAATGCATACATATATAGGCGTTGTTTGGGAAGAATAGGTTGGGGCTATTATAGCCTCAAAATGAAAATAAGCCAAAAAGCCTACTGTAGCAACCCTTTTTATTAAAAAAAAAAAAAAGAAAAAAGAAAAGCTAGAGGACAAGCAGTAGCCTACACCCACAGCTATCCTACAGCTACGGACAGCTAGGTATTGCGCCACGGAAATTCATCCCACAGCTGTTAAATTACAATTTTGCCCCTTTAGTTAATTTTGAAAAATAAAAAGTTAGGGACAAATTTGTCATTTTAAGTTTAAACATCATTTCAACACATTTTTCAATACAATAACTCAAATAAAAATTCATCCCATCTTCCCAAACACAAAAACTAAAATAGCCTACTAAAATAGCCAAATAGCCAAAAAGCCTCCAAAATAGCCACTTCCCAAACGAAGCCATAATTTTATTCTTGTATTGGTCCATCAAATAATCACAAGAAAATCTATCAAAAAAATGTCTCATGAAAAAAAAAAGAACCTAAAGAAGGAAATGCAAAGAAAGTGGGCTATTGTAACTTGTTTGTTGGTTCTACTAGAATCAATCCAAGTTGGTTTTGTGTTTTAATTATTACTAGATCAAATAAGATGCTTACACTAGTTGAAAATAGTTTTTGATGGAGACAAAGCCAAGGTGGGCAAGAATTGTCAAGTGTGTACTTCGAGGCTTGTAGCACATATGCACGATTGCTATATGTCTAATCTCAACATTAGAGGGGGATGTCAAATCCATGTGTGAAACTGAACTCCAAGCCTCATTAACAGGAAACTCCTAAAACCTAAGAAGCAGGAAACTCTTACATGGGTGATGTTTCTTGTTGGGAAATGCGTTTTTGCGCTTCCAAGTAAGAAACTCACTCCCGTTGAGGAAGAAACTCGCTCCGAACTAAGATATAAACTCTTAAACATACAAATATTAAAAAAAAGAAAAGAAAATCAACTCAAACTTATTATAGTACTTTCTATTTATATAACATTATTCATACTTGACAAAGACAATTTGTAATTGATATCAATCTCAAATATTTATTGATATTTTAACACATATTTCACAACTACGTTACTACGTAGAAAAAATAATCGTTGGAATATATTTCTATTTTTAATATATGAAACATATACGATTCCATATGCACTCCCAACCTGAGAAACTAAGCTCCAAACAGTACTATGCAAATTAACAAGGTTCCACACTCAAAGCAATAACTAGAGGATTGCTTTAAAATCTTCAAGGGGGATGAGGTGTCAACTAAGAAGCATGAATATGGGAAACACAACATGATTCAAACATGACATGAGAAGGGAGGTATTTTCAAAATATAGCAATGTGTTGGGGGAACATGATTCAAACATGACATGAGAAGGGAGGTATTTTCAAAATATAGCAATGTGTTGGGGGATTGGACTTCTATGGAGGTGACTATGTCTCGTGGTAGGAGTCTTTGGAAGGATATTAGGAAAATTTGGGATAGCTTTTTGCTAATTTCAAGCAACTATAGGGAGGGTGAAATTTTGGAGTCATTTATGATATTGGAAAAGAAAACTTGAGGCAATTTTCCTTGTGCTCTCCCCCCCTCTCTCTCTCTCTCTCTCAAGATTGTGGTGGATATTTTTTGAGGCATATGTGGAAGATTATCTCTGGAAGGATTGTTGAGCAAGTGTTTTAAGGTAGTAATTTTATAAAAGATTTGCATGATTGGGAAGGTTGATGGTTCTTCTTGAGGGGTTATTTGGGAGAACATAGGTGAGGAGGCTGCTGTGAGATGGAAAGTGCCAAAGTCGGAGCATTTTGACAAGAAATTTTTTATGGGTCTTGGTAGATCATTAAGATACACCCTTCTCGTGGAAAGAGATTCAGGCTGCAATGGTGCCTTCTAAGGTAGGGTTTTCAGTTTGGGATGGTAGTGCATGAGAAGATCCTCACAATTGACTACTTGATTTAGCTTTTCATATTTTGTTTAATTAATGTTGCATGTGCAAGAAAAATGGAGAGTCACTCAATCATCTTTTGATTCATTGATGTGGCCAGAGAGCTATAGGATATGATTGTAGCTTTGTATAGGCCCTGAAATTGGGTTTTTCCAAGAATAGTAGATCTTATCCATGGTTGGAGAGGGGAGGAGGGGGGAGAGCTCATAAGAGAAGAAGGAAGGCTTGGATGTTGGGTTCCTTGTATGATCTGGATAATTTGGGGTGAATGTAATTGTAGGTCTTTATAGGTGTGAAGAAACCTTTTGATAAATTGAAGAGTAATTTTTGACTCTGCACTATAATTGGACATCGGGAATGATTAAGTTGTTCTCATCAACAAATTTTGGATTTTGTGGCGTCTTTTGAGTAGAGAGAAGGTGTATAGGTTGCTAGTGGTTTTATAACCTTTTTTACTTGGGTGGTATCCCCGCTTTATGCTTCATTTCCAATAAATTTACTTAAAAGAAAAAGAACAAGAGGACTGAGAGCATACGCATTCCAAGGATAGCAAATTAAAGCACTTAGCTTAAGCCATGACAAACGAGTCTAAAGGTATGTGGGTATAAAAGTTGAACTGAAGATATGGATACTGCAAACAGAAAGCTGAAATGTTAGAGACCGCTACAAGGTGAAGAGCAAGGCAAGCAATAACCAGAGAGGGTAGCAATGTGGGCACTCTATGCAATCTAAAGGGCTGATGATCCAGATAGGGAGAGAAGCCAGAGCCCTCCTTTTTATAGGCAAGGAGTTTGAGATAATTTTGAAATGTCATAATAATAGGACTCCTATTGACATAAATCTCCTGCCATGTTTACGTTGGGACTCTCCCCAATCTTAATATGATAAGGTCCTTATTGCCCCAACTTTGTTGGGACAGTGTCGGATTGAGTTGAAGTAATACCCTTCACTTCGAATACTTGAGATAGAGACATTCTCCTACACCTCAATGAGCCCTTGCTCTCAGCCACCAAGCCATGTGTCCCCCAACGTCTCAGTATAGACTATAGTGTAGTCCAAAGACCAGACAATGGATGTGCACCAAGCCTAAAGGGGCCACCTGTGTTCTGCTTGCTGACTGAGGCAAACATCTCAGCCTGGGGGTATGAGTGGTGAGAAGGAGACTCTCTTCTTGAGGTAGTGGGAGGCTACAACAGATATTTTTGCTTTGTCTTGATAGTGCCCTTTTTCGATGACAAAAATCTAATTAGAGGTTTTGGAGTGGTGCTCATGACGGACACAAATAAGTATGAGAATTCAAAGCAGTGCTCATGATGGGATCATAGAGATGGTATAATTTCCAGAGAAATGCTCTTGATGGGAGCATCAATAAGGGTTTCAAGAGTCTCCCTCAACTCCCGAGCTACCAACTCAAGTTAGCCATTGGTGGTAGTCCCTCGAGGTACTCAATAAATAATCATACTTCACGAGGGAGTCCTAATGCATTTGCAGTAGATATCGTCCCACTGGTAGCTTTTTCTTTGAAGGTGCTGAATCGAGGTAATTCTGGCCTCAAGGTAATCAGTCAGGACGATCATGGATTAACACATTCTTCATATCCTTTCCTTTAACTACCATCTCTAGATTGTATTTTCATGGTTTGCAGAAGGGATACTGGAACTTTCTTTTGATGCTTCGTGGACTACTGTTGCAAGCTGTTTTATGAGAGGGAACATCATTTTATGGCTTTATTGGATTGTCAGGTGGTTTTAACATATCAGGTTGAACTAGATAGATTTAATTTTTTTGCAGATGCAAAAGTACTGATTATTTTGAAGCTGTTATATATTGAGAGCTTAAGTTAATTTTTTTTGTTTTTTTTGAACACTACGAGAAATGTGCCTCCCATTATCATCTTGGTGATATGGAGTAAAGGAATCAATGACCATCAGAAGATGGAGTTAGATGACTGGATGTGAAAGTCTCTAGTTTACTTGTTTTATATCTGGCTGATTTATTTATTATTTATTTTTCCTTTAATTAATGTCTTCATTAAAACAAGACTACAATATAAATTTAATATCAGTACTAGTTTCAACTTTGTATATGGTTTATTGTCCCTAGCCAAATCTGATTTAGCTAAAGCAAGTGTTTTCTTTTTGCCTTTTTTCTTTCTTTTCTTTTGGTTCATTTAAAATGAAAGAAGCAGGTTAATCTGTTGGAACCAACTGCTGTCTTAATCAATTGAATCTTGAATCTTGATAATATATACATATGTTATTAAACTCACATAGATTAGATCAGATCCCTCAGTATTTAGTTTGGTCCTTTCCTTGATAAAATGTCTCTACGACTTGGACTTTCAACCTTTTTGTTTCCATCATGTGTTTGGCCCACTCATAGAGGGTCCTTCAAAGTGAAGCGTTGTGTTGTATATATAAATTCTTACGTTACATCCCTCTAATAGCTCAAGCTATTGGGGCAACTAGTTGTTCAACAGCACTTTATTAACTACAAAAACTGAGATCCTCTGCAACTTCAGATGGAGTGGATGCATGAAGCGGTCATATGATAATGGTATAACTTGGACAGCAAGAGAGCAGCTTCCTCCCGGTATTTTAGGACCAATCAAGAATAAGGTAATTCACTCTTGTAAATTTTCATTTATGTTATGGACTTGAAATTTAATACTTTTAAAATGCCCATTTTATATGTGTGTTGCTTACTTTGCTCAGCCTATCTTGCTGGAAAATGGGAACTTGCTATGTGGATCATCAGTTGAAAGTTGGAATTCTTGGGGAGCATGGGTCGAGGTTGTAACAAAAACTCACACTACATTAAGCAATTTTTGTTATTCTCATATGGGAAGGAAAATTAAAAAATCATGTGAATTATGTTGTTAATTCAAGTGTTGTGACTCATATAAAGCAGATGACTGAAGATTGTGGTAGGTCGTGGAGAAAGTATGGACCTATATATATTGAGAATGAGACTCTCAGCGTGATTCAGCCAGTTCCATACCAGACTGCATATGGGACCTTGCGTGTTCTATTGAGATCTTTTAATGGAATTGATAGAGTTTGTATGTCTGAATCCTATGATGGAGGCCACAGCTGGGGATATGCAAAACCTACTGAACTACCCAATCCAAACTCAGGTTGTGGCTGACACTGTATCGTTTGCATTAAACAATGGGTTATTTGGGTTCCTCGTAAATATGATTGTTTATAAAAATTATATGGATAGGAATAGTTTGTTTTCTCATGCCTTTTATAATGCTTCTTGTTCTACATCTTCTCCATTATAATTTTCTTGATGGTGCTCAGGCCATTTCTTTTCAAATGTTTTTGAGTTTTCTTCTTTTCTTTTTTTCATTTTCAGTTGCAGTGACTCGTATTTATAGGATTAATTTGTTCATGTCATTACAATGGAAACAAAGTTGAACGACTTTTTATCTTCCTTGCTCATTTAAATCCTACATGTGTAGGCTGATTCTTTTGTTTTTGCCTAAGAAGCACGGAAGTACACGGGATACAATGATTCTCAAAAAATTAGGACATAGACATGGCGGGGACACAACCAAAAATATATTTTTGATTACCTCACTTTTTTATATCGTTCCGTCTTTTAATCTTCAAATTTATTTATTTATTTATTTATATATTTTTTTGTACATTAGTGTCACTGTTAAAATCCACATACTCTCCACCTACTTCACCCACTTAAACCTACTCCACTAAACCTAACCCACTACACCACTACCACCTCACCTTACTCCTCACCTACTCCATACCTACTACACACTCACCTATTCTCTTCCCACATCCTCTCTTCTATATATAGGAATCATTGTAATATATCAAAATATCAATCAATAATACAATTCTCTATTTCTCTTTATACATTAAATTTTCTACATGGTATCAGAGCAAGGTTAAGAAGCTAGTAATTCTGCTTCACCGACGGGCGGCAGCCTCGCCTTGGCCGCCCGCCGGACCTCTACACATGCCTTCACTCCCCCAAAGCTTCCTCGGCCAAACCTCCTCCTCCTAACCAACCTTTAATAAGGGCTATTACAGCAGTGTTGAAAAAGTTTAGTATTCACAGTGATGGAAAGGCTGAACTCAGAGCTGTACTTGCAAAACTGTTACATAATGCAAGAGAATGAGAGGCTTAGGAAGAAAGCCCAACTTCTCAACCAAGAAAATCAAACATTGCTTTCTGAGCTCAAGCAGAAACTTTCCAACAAGTCAAACAAGCACCCAAAATCCAGTAGTGGCCCAAACTCAATTCCGGACCTCTCATCACTCTTCACTGTTGTTGATTCTGCCGTATCGCAATCAGAGAGATATTGATTGTCATATATCATCATGGCTCCAGCAGCGGCAGCAGATTCAATAAAGCCTAGAGATGTTTGTGTTGTTGGTGTTACACATAACCCCCTGTTTTCGTCTTTGCAACTCTCTCTCTCTCTCTGTGTCCAGTTAGTTGTTTGTGAGTGAAAATGTCAGACAGCAACCTGCATCGATATCCTCTTGGCCATCATCTTGCCTCACCTTGGGGTCTTCCTCAAATATGGTTGCCAGGTAGAGTTCTGGATTTGTGTGTTGCTGACCTTGTTTGGGTGGTTACCTGGAATCATCTATGCTGTTTATGCCCTCACCAAGAGATTTATCTATCATCCCCTCCCATATCCTCATCTACTCTGTTTAGGTGGAGATGTGAGGGTCATATTGACAGGGCTTTTCATATCTGCTAATGGAGGAGATGGGTATCTAAAGGCTTGATAGACAGTGCATATCAACAAGACGATCACTGCAACAGACAAACGACCCAGCAGTCCCTTCATTTTCGCCTCCGGCAGTGGCTTGCACTCCATCAAGTGCTCAATCTGCCGGTCCAGATCCGATTGAGAGGCCATCGTCGAAGGATCTGATGATCACGGCTTTCCGGCGCATAGCGGCCTTGGAGGCGGATTACGGCCTTGTTTGGTTTCAAAAGCCTTCCTTCGAGCTCTCTCTCTCTCAGAGGGTCTTTCTCTCATTTCTTTTTGATTGGTGAAATCCATCCTCATCAACACACTCACCCATGTGACCCACGATGCTCAGATTCTCCAACCTATACTTTTTTCTTTTCATTTACACTCATGTTCCCCACTCCACTTTCCTCTTTTCGTTTCTTTTTATTTTCCTATTCTCTATTGATTTGAATATCAAAAAAAAAAAACAGACGAAGACGCCTTGCACACCAATCTCCTTTTATTCATGTCGGGGCTCACCCCGTTTACCATTTTACATCAAAAAAAAAAAAAAAAAAAAAAACAATTTCCAAATTTGCACAACAACCCATATTTTATTTCTCTCAGGGATCCACCCCGATCACAATTTTACACCAAAAAAAAAAAAAAAA